ATATTTTGATCTAACCACACCTCCTTAGATGTTTATTTAATATTCGTATCTTATCCTGTATCTCCATGTTCAAATATGTTGAATTTTATATTGGGTTGCTAGTATTTTTCTTAAATACAGTTTAAGAGGTATTTATGTATTATTTAAATTATTCCTTTTATTTGTATCTACAGATATGAAAAGCAGATGTTTTTAAACTTTCTCTTGCCTTTGCTTGTGGTTTTCTTACTTCAGATGTTAAAATTTAACAATGCTTTCCTCCCTTCTATATTTTGTGATTGAGTGAGAAAGGTTTGCTTGCTACTGACACTAACCAATCACTTGACAAATTGCTAATTTTTTCTCCAAGTGATAATGCTAATAATGATGATGATGATAATGATAATGACTTTAAACCCTAACATCCAGAATTTATTTTATTCTAAATAATGAGACTGAATACAAGCTTCATTTATTTATTTTTCTTTCCAACGACCTCCTTCATTTTCTCGATACACGTATTGAATAAATTCTTTTCTTCATTGGTTGACAAAATTATCTTACTGCATTCTACAAAGCCTTAGGTATGTGAGTACTCTCTAGTACAAGCCTTTTGTTAGCTCAAACTCCTTTATTTTCTTTAAGTTTATAATGTTTATAAAGAGCCAGGGCTCCTTCACTACTCTCCAATTTCAGAACTACCCCAGTCATTTTTCAAATTACTTTTCACATAATATTTGTGACTTTTCAGATTCTTTTATACATAGCAGACATTTAAAAGATATTCATTTCTTTTCCCAAACAATATATGTCTTCATTTATTTAGGTCATTAAACATGTGTGTGTCTGTGTCCTTGTGTATAAATGTATTTATTTCTGAGATTTTAAAACGTTCCTTTCTAAAATTCTGTAAATTTCTGAATGTTATGCCTGTATGTTTGCCTTTTAGATTATCATTCTTTTTTTATTTTTTTTAATTTATTTTATTTATTTTTTTTATTTTTTGACAGGCAGAGTGGACAGTGAGAGAGAGAGACAGAGAGAAAGGTCTTCCTTTTGCTGTTGGTTCACCCTCCAATGGCCGCCGCGGCCGGCGCACTGCGGCCGGTGCACCGCGCTGATCTGATGGCAGGAGCCAGGAGCCAGGTGCTTTTCCTGGTCTCCCATGGGGTGCAGGGCCCAAGCACCTGGGCCATCCTCCACTGCACTCCCTGGCCACAGCAGAGAGCTGGCCTGGAAGAGGGGCAACCGGGCCAGAATCCGGCACCCCAACCGGGACTAGAACCCGGTGTGCCGGCGCCGCTAGGCAGAGGATTAGCCTAGTGAGCCGCGGCGCCGGCCAGATTATTATTCTTAACAATATCTTACTGCATTTCAATTTGAATTGACTTTTAGTACACAGAAAAGTTAATGGATCATGTAAATTTTTTATCAGTTACTGTTCTGTATTCTCTTATTTTTAATTTTTTCTTTCCCTTTTCTCTACAGTTTGTATGGCTCCTGACTATGTATCTCATCTAATAGCACTGTACCCAATAATCATGATATCTGTGGGCATCTCTGTCTTTGCTAGCATTAAAGGTAGTACTTACACTGCTCTACTGTGTCAACATTTTGCAGAATGCTGGCTTTCTTGTAAAGTTTTGGATAAAAATGAGAGCTGGCTAAAAGCTACACCGCATTTAACTACATCCCTGCATCTTAGGAGAGCTACGCAGGTACTGGAGCTCCCAAATCTTTCTGTGGTTCTCATCTATCCAGCCTGAATAGGAATGAAATTATGCCACAGATTGTAGTTCATAGTTAACTTAATTCACTTTGTACATAAATCTAGGAAATAAATGACACAAAGAAAATGTGTGGGTGTGTGTAATCAACACAGTATAAGGTTGGCAGAAGTGCTCGATATCAGAGAGGTTTTGTTTTTATTTATAAGCTTTGCATATAGGCATTTTCATTAATTTAGAGAAGACAGATTCACTAAATATGTTATCACTCTCAGTTTTGCTTTTGTGATTTCTTTCTGTTTCCCCCATCATTAAAAGCTTATGTGTTGGAAATTTTTACAAATAAATGAGCTGAAACCAGTAAAATTCAATACACTTGAGATCTGAAGACATCTGGTGGATTATTTTCTGAGTAATTAGACTGGGAGGTGGGACAATTCCCTGAAGTAAGCCATCCTACCACTGGATACCCAGTTATTTCTGCAAGTCATCAGCTTGCGTGCGGTGAACTTATTGATTCATGAATTGACAAACAACTATGTAGAGCTGCCTCCTGATTGTCTAAGACATTTATATTACATACGTCAAACATATACTCCTCTAAGGGGGCTCATGGTATAGCCTATTTCTGTATGCTCTATTTCCTTGATATGCTATGTATGTTGTTAAGAACATTGAATGCAAATCTTCCTCAAGTTCTGTCACTGTTTGCCTCTGGCTGGTTATTCCAACACTTGGGCACATGTATGAATCACTTAACAATTTGGATTTTTGAAAACATGCATCTGTTTTGGTACATAGAGGTATCAATGAAGGATAAAAAAAGGTTTTTAAAATTTTATTTATTTATTTATTTGAGAGGCAAAGAGAGAGGTACCCACAGAGGGAGCTCCCATCTGCTGGCTTAATCCTTAAATGCCTGTATTGGCCCCCAACTGGAACTAATGCTGGAGTCCCAGAAATTCAATCCAGTTCTCCCATATAGATGATAGGAACACAATTATTTAAGCCAGTATTGCTCTCTCCCAGGGTCTGCACTAGGAGGAAGCTAGAGAAAGGAACCAGAGCCCGGTATCAAACCCTGGTATCCAGGGGACTCCAATTCAATCCCATCAAGGTGGCATGTACCAATGCCATCTCACTAGTCTAAGTGATCAATTTCAGTTCACAATTGATCATAATGAAAGGACTAAGAGTCAAAGGGAGCACATAAACAAGTCTAGTACCTGCTAATACTAACCGATAGAATAAATAAAGGGGAGAGTGATCCAACATGGGAAGCGAGATACTCAGCAGACTCATAGAATGGCACATGTCCTAAACAGCACTCTGGCCTCAGAATCAGCCCTTAAGGCATTCTGATCTGGCTGAAAAGCCCATGAGAGTATTTCAAGCATGGAAAGCCAAGACATTCTGGCAAAAACAAAAAACAAAACAAACAAACAAACAAACACAAAACAAAACAAAACAAAAAACCTAAATGAAAGATCTCTGTGAGTGAGATCCCAGTGGAAAGAACAGGTCTTCAAAGAAGGAGGTACCTTTCTCTGAAGGGAGGAGAGAACCTCCACTTTGACTATGACCTTGTCTAAACAAGATGAGAGTCTGAGAACTCAAGGGGCTTCCATAGCCTTGGAAACTCATGACTGGAGCATAGGGAGATTACTGATGCCATAAACAGGAGTGTCAATTTGTAAAGTCAACAACAGGAGTCACTGTGCACTTACTCCTCATGTAGGATCTCTGTCCTTAGCGTGCTGTACATTGAGACTTAATGCTATAACGAGTACTCAAACAGTATATTTCACTTTGTGTTTCTATGGGGGTGCAAACTGTTGAAATCTTCACTTAATGTATACTAAACTGATCTTCTGTAAAAAAAAAAAAAAAAAAGAAGAAGAAGAAATTACCAAATCCCAACTTGACTCTCACTGGGATTAAACATGACAATAGGTCTGATCTGATTTCATCATCATTTAAAAAATCATCTATTATTTTTCACTTTATGTTTCTGTGTGGGAGCAAACTGTTGAAATCTTTACTTAATGTATGCTAAACTGATCTTCTGTATATAAAGAGACTCGAAAATGAATCTTGATGTGAATGGAAGGGGAGAGGGGTGGGAAAGGGAAGGGTTGCGGGTGGGAGGGACGTTATGGGGGGGAAGCCATTGTAATTCATAAGCCGTACTTTGGAAATTTATATTCATTAAATAAAAGTTAAAAAAAAAAACTGGTATCTTGAGATGGGAATGCAGCTGTCTTAATCAGTATTTTAACTGCTAGGATAAAAGCCCAGCCTAAGAAAAATTTTAAATATTTCCATTCTTTATCTTATTTGTTACTATGTTTCTTGGGAATGTTGATCAATAAAGTTTTAGTGCTTGAAATGTATGTAGTAATACAATAAAAGCATAGATTTGCAAGTGTTCTGGAAGTTCAAGGAATTATTCTCCCTGCTGGAGAGCAAAAACATTTAAACTACTGTAGAAAGATAAATGTCTTTCCAATTTAAAAGAACTCCAGAACTCCCTAAGTTACCCATTGTGGAGTAAAATATTGCTATTGAGAAAGTTTACTTTATAGCCTGTCTAAATCTCACAGGTTATTAAAATCTCCTTTAGCCTTTCTATGCCTTTTGTATTTTATCTTTAAGGGTGATATTTACAAAACGATAAAGTCAGCAGTTTTAGGCACACTAGAGGCAAAGATACTCTGATCAAGAATCACCCAGAAAGCAGTGACAGTGACCACTTATGTCCCTTAGGGGTTAGGAAACTACGGGTCATTTTTGGATATAAGTTTGGGATATAAGATACTTTGAATCTATAAAATTTACAGATTACTTAGAAAAATAAAGGGAAGATATGCAAAGAATGAACATTTGATAATGATGTAAGTACAACTTATCCTTATTGAATATGCGTATTCCTTATTGAATAAGTCTCCAGCTATTTAAAACTGATGAACGCTAAGTGAATCCAGGACATCTTTTGCTGTCATGTCACATTAATTCAGTGTATTCATTCACCTTCTTTATCTTCTTAGGTAAAATCTATGTTTTAATTTCATGTAGTCCAACAACAAAAATCAAGCCAAAATTTATTCATTACATTTTCCTTTGTAATGCCTGGAACAAGACCATCAAGTCTTAACTAAAACTGATGGAGAACTCTCTACCAAAGGATAGTAACTTCATTTTCAATCTCACTAATTGAAATAAAGGTATAACAACAGACCAGAAGTAGCACAAACGTGATCTTAAACTGCAGTCCAAATGCAACGGAAAACTCACCAGATGTTTCGTCTACTCTCTCATCTACTATGTGGTCCTTCTGATGCACCCATTCACTGTTGCACTTGAAGTAGATTTGGGTGGCAGGGCTGGCTTTACAATACAGGTTCACAGGCTTGTTCTTCACAATGTAAGCTTCCTCAGGCTCAATAAGGAAGTGTGGTAGAGGCTCAGGTGGATCGGAGGGAAAGGTTTCTGGGAGTTCGTGAAAAAAGTCGTCGTCTAGTAAACAAGAAGAAAGTGGAAAAAAAAAATGGTCAAAACATCATAACAACTTGCTTTTTACTTGCTCCTCATTTGAAAACTGTGACTCATAAAGGAGCTAATTAAGTGATTCCACGTCTGCCACTTGCCAGGCAGTATGCTCAGTCTATTGGTCGGTTGCTCAATTAAGAATTGAGATGATTCTTCTCATCCTTACACATGGTGAAGCTCAACATCAGGGAGGATAGATAAGCTGCTCTGAGCAATCAGTGGGAACCAGCAGAACTGGGACAGGAGCGCAAGCTTTTCTCAGTCAAAAACCATGCCACCCTTGAAAGCTGACCAAAGCAAAAAGAACCTCAACAGAAAACTTTGCTGGAAAGCATTAAAGTTCATAGGTCCACCTTCAATCCTTTGCAGCGAGCTGCACAGAATACTAGAAACAGGAATTAAGGATGTTCACGTTAAGATTCCAGTCTATTGCTGTTTCTTAAAAGATGCTGCTGTGTAAATACTTATTTTATCAGCCAAAAAAATCTTTATCCCTCTGAGAGTTATGCTCAGCAATGGAAATATAATACAGATGCTACAGCAAGTTGGTCCATAGGGGAGTCCTAGTAGAACCTGGAGTTCCAAACCCAGAGTTTGGAATTGCCATTTGGTCTTTTCTTTTTGAAAACGTTCTTCTGATTTCACCCAACGTCCTATGACCGGTCATAGCTCTTCTCCCCAGACTGTTACTCACTGCACTCATGGAGAACACTGGTTTCACTTCTAAAGCACTGCAAATTTTCATATTGCTCACCCCCTGATATTACAACACCATAGACTAAACAAAACCTGAAATCCCCTGAGATATTTGTGCTCATTGTAGTATGTCTTTCTTTAACTTCAATGCTGTATGATTCTCAGCAAGTAATGAAAATTATAAGGATGTCTTTTTATAAAACTTACTATCATGTTTTGCAAGTATCAAAGGAAGAAACGTCTTTTCAACACACTATGAGTAACTGTAACCAAATACTCATCTTCCCGTGAAGGACAGAGGAGAACAAAACTATTACTAATTCCTTGTATTGATTAAATACTGTAGCCTAATACGTAAGGTTGAAACTCAGAGGTCAAAATTAAAACTTTCACAAGTTCTTTGAATGCACACCTATTCAGCAGGAAATACAGGTTGTGGTATTTGCACGTAAAGACTGGTTCCTCAGATGACACCCAGACACTCATTTTATTACTCATTCAGTTGTGGCCCTGTCTTGGGAGATGGCCATTGGTAAAGCAGACATCAGTTCTCCAAGAAACCTGGCTTGGGACTTTTCTTATCTAGGTCACTCAGCAATGATGCTCAGTCTCTGCCAATGTGTTTTGCAGGAAAAATTGGTCTCCCTTGCGTCACAGACAAAATTAGCTTTCAAAGCGGCTCTGCAATTGTTGTTTCTCGTAGCTAGCTTTCTTTCTCATTCCGCCTCCCTCACGTCCCGCCTTTTTTTTTCCCCTGGCAGGGCATCATTTCTACTTTGCCATTGTTCAAGAACAAGGACCCAAACTGTCAGCTTCCTAAAGAATAACCTACTTTCCATCTATTCAAGCTCCTCTCGTCGATATGCAAGAACACTCAAGCCTGCTAAAATAAACATAGCTCAGACAGGCAGAGGGATGAGGAACTGAGCTACCACTGAAAGATCCACCAACACAAAACCGGGGTCTTGAGGGCCTGGTCCAATCTCTTCTTCCTTCTAAAGCACTTCCTGGTATATGTGATGAAGGGCAGCGCTGATAATAAATTCCACAAAATCTAAGGCTCGACTTCTCTAGAAGGTTAGCTATTATTTCGAATTGTTATTCAGAAAGGCAGAGGGTCCAACTAGATTTTTTTCTATTGGTGTATGTTTATACATATAAAACATGTGAATGTACTTACTATGTTTGCATGCATTTGAATTTGCAAAATACAAAGCCCCCTTTTCAGCCATTGTTTGGGATGGTGAAGCTTGTTTTTAAAAAGGTATTGCTGCAATACATTAAATGATTTCATACCACCTTCCGTTCTTCCCTTCTTCAATAATGTAGCAAAAGTATTCCTACAGTTCATATCCTAAGACTTCACAGAGAGTCTCTGAAACTTGACTTCCCTGCCTTGCCAAAGCATGTATCTCTTTCTTCTGATTATCTTAGCATAAACTACTGACAAAACTAATGGAAGATGACACAGTCATGCATATATTTTCAAGTCAAAAAAGCTATGCTAATTACTGGGTGGCATGGGTGTGGGAGAAGTAATGGCTTTATACTTATGTATAAAATTTTGGGGAAATCCCCTCTGTCTTTCCTTAATTTAAAAAAAAAAAGATGATCACTACAAACAAATGGAAATAAACGTATGGCTCATTTTGAGGCTTTAGACATTGTTGATTTTCCAAGGTGTTTGTTAACAAGTATCATGCAACTTATTTTTAGAACTGTATCCATGAACTACATTGAATCTGTTCTCTATGCATTAATATCACATTAACATGAGAATTGATGAAAGTTGTGTTGTGGTAGTTATCATGCATTTGTTGTGTCCCTGAGTATCTAATGTATTAATAAAATTCTTAAATAAAAAATAAAAATGCAGATTATTAGGAGTGATTTCTACCCTCAGAAATGTTTTTTTCTCAAGTGATAAACCCAGTGTTTCTCTTCCATGCCATTCTAGTTTCTGCAGAACCCACCTTGTAAGGCTGATCTAGAGATGCCTTAACCAACCCATAGCATCTTAGTTTATTAATATATCTTGCGCAACAAATCCAAGTCTATACCTTGAATGAATTCACATCAGGCAAAATATGGTATATCCCTTAGAGTACTCAATTTGGGTGTTGGGAATGACATTAATGAAAAAAAATCAAAACTCTTAGATTATAGATACATATAGTTGGACTTAAGAGACAAAATGCAAAAGGGCTTATAGTTAGGGGACTCCTGGGTTATTGCAAAATTCTGCCTTCCATTGTTGCACCACAGGGCCTGGGTACAATAGCCAATCATGGAAGTCGTTCCATAAAACAGCTTCTTCCTCAAGTTAAGCATGCTAAGAGAACATTTTCTGACTTTTTTTGTAGACAAAAATGGTGTCAGCGTTAGTTTCTAAATACAGAGCCAGAGGTATTTTAGAAATTTGTCACTGAAATTTTGTCTAAAAATATTCCCTTCTAGAGTAAGTTTTGAAAAGTAAATAAGCCCATTCTCTTCAAACAAAATAAAATCTAAATCTTTTGAGCGTTTAAATATTGAACATGGATACATCCATGATGCTCCTTGACTTCTGTAAGTGGAAAACACACTTCATGTACCCAACTTACTGAACATACCAGCTCTGACACACGGCACATTACAGAGTGCTGGTCATTTGCCCTCATACTGGCAGGGCTGACTGGGAGCAGGGGCCACTGTTTAGCCACTCTGGAGAGTATCACACCACATGTTGCTAGCCTAGGAAAAGGTCAACAATCAATATTCTATGTATGGCTTCTATTGAATACCTATCACTTTCATGCCATCATAAAGCAGGAAAGTTGTTACAGTGACTCATTATAAATGGGAGAGCCATCTGAATGCGTATTTAATGAGAAAAGGTGTGCTGCAAATGCGCGTTCCTCTGCATGAACATCTTTTCCTCTGCAGAGTGCATTTGTCTCTCGCATGTATGGAGCAATCTAATGTTCTGTGTTGGCAACTGGTTTTATGCAACTGTTACCAATTTTTAAAAAATTAGGGTTATCTCGTAATTGCTTCATGCTAGAATAAAATGTCTTTGAAGGCAGGAACTGTGTTGTTTTCATTTTTAGCACAGTGCCAAGTCCTGTACAAATCTTATAAAAGCATGAATACCATGCTAATGACAACTTGGGTCTTTCCTAAAAGCTCCCCAAGGTATTTTAGAATTTTTAGTGCCTCAAATTTACTTATAAGATTTCATAGCAATAGTATCTACAAACAAGACTGGCTACAAAATTTGTATGGCTGGTGAAGAAGGAAAATTTGGGGACACTGGTTAAAAATGCATTAAGAGTTCTGAAATGGTGACAGCAGTACATTAAATGAAGCCCAGTCCTGAGTGACAGCACAGGTCACAGGCCCACAAAGCTATCCCTGTCTGCAAATGTCAGTTCAATGAGTATTCCACTGTAGGGAAATCTTGAAACATGAAATTACATCTTTGTTAGTGAATATTCATTTTACTCATTTGGTATTTCGTACCTTCTTATGGTAATTTTTTTTTCCCCTAGAGACATGGATTTTCAAACTGAGAAACTCAGGTTCAATTCTCTAAGCATTTTGTTTGCAGTGGTGTGCAAGTGAAGGCATTTTGTGCATTTGTGACATTTGTGCATTTGTGACATTCCTGTTAGAGGTGCCCCAGGCTCCATCCATGTCTCCTTGGGCCTGACTCAAACTATGTCCTGAGGTTAGCTCTTTCTGAGCATGAAGGAACTGTGGTATACATGGGGATAAGAAGGTGCGAGATGCTACCCTGAGCTGGCAGACTATTTATCAAGATCGAATCCTAGCATGCAATTCATTTTACTGTACAAACTAACCAGCTTTATGAGACTATAAAGTCCAGGCTACAAAGCTTGATGTTATAAGGGAACAATTTTGCTTTATCTTCAGGGAGATCAGTGAGTGCACCCTCTTACCATTTTGTTTGTTAATACAACTATCTGAAGGAGTGACTTCAAGGTGAAAATAGGAATTCAATTTGGGGAACAGCAACTTCAGATTGCAAACTTATTTCTGGTAACATGCTACAGTCATCATAAACGATTACATCCTGTAAAAATACACAATCCAGATACTGATATTGATGGCACTGCACCATTTGGGCAGAATGACTTGATTAGTTAAATTGCTACATGCAGTTCATTCAAATTAGCAAAGTCAAAATTTCCATTTCTTTTGGTCTGCTCACCAAATTCAGTATCAACTTAGAGCTATCATTGCCGTTTTGGGGGATTTAGATAAAATGT